TTCCAGAATTGACAGGGGATCTGCTCTGGATTTTTGTCTAATCTTTCAAGGAGCTGAATCCCCTTTGTTGGGTCTTCTCTCCAAAACGGTACCAAGCTAGCAAAAGTGTGGACTCTCCCATGTTCAGCACCTTGGACAGACTCCTAGACTTCTTGGACAGACTCCTAGAATCGTGTAGACCGCAGGGTTCATCCAGTTCAGCTGTCTTCTGCCAGGCAGGAAGACACAATCCAAGTCCTCCCAGCAGATGGCCAGAGCTGCTTAAAATCTTCCAGAGAAGGAGAATCCATCGGATTCCCAGGCAGTACCAGATTCCACTGCCAAACTGCTTTTTGCATCAAAGCATTCTTACTAATTAAGATGTGGAATCTCTTTTCCTGCCATTTAAACCCATGGCTCCATTGGATTCTAGTCTCTAGAGCAGTTGAAAACAAGCTCCTCCATGTGACTGCCTTTAAAATAATTAAACATGCCTCTCATGTCCCTGGTGGCAATATGTGCCGGGAGAACTGCTGACTGACAGGTTGGCAGTTCAAATTCAGGGGAGAGTGGGTGAGCTCCCTCTGTCAGCTCCAGCTCCCCATGCAGGGACATGAGAGAAGCCTCCCACAGGATGGTAAAAACATCAAACATCTGGGTGTCCCCTGGGCAACATCCTTGCAGACGGCCAATTCTCTCATAGTAGAAGCAACTTGCAGTTTCCCAAGTCACTCCTGATGTGAAAAAGTCCCCCTTTTGCATGGACTTTTGCATTTAACCCCAGTGGCGCAGTGGGTTAAACCCTTGTGCTGGCAGGACTGAAGACCGACAGGTTACAGGTTCGAATCCGGGGAGAGTGCGGATGAGCTCCCTCTATCAGCTCCAGCTCTTCTTGCGGAGACATGAGAGAAGCCTCCCACAAGGATAATAAAACATCAAAACATCCGGGCGTCCCCTGGGCAACGTCCTTGCAGACGGCCAATTCTCTCACACCAGAAGCGACTTGCAGTTCCTCAAGTCACTCCTGACACGACAAAAAAAAATTGGACTGAATGGCCTCTTGGGGTCCCTTCTAGCTCTGTGGTTCAATTCATGGGAGAAAGCTGTGATGTCTATAAACAAACAAGGGAGTGGAAGAAAGGAAGAAACCTAGCATTTCACTCAGGGGGAATAGGTTTCCGAACAATCTTTCTGCTTACCAAATTGTTGTATCCCATGTCATCATTGGTCCTTGCAGCCTCCATTCTGCTTTCAGTATTGTAGAGTATAGGGATGAAGAGGAGGAGGCTGAGACAACATTGCCAGGCAGCAGAATCAAAGGCAAAAAGAGAGGGGAGAAAGATATGAATGATCGAGTCCTGCAAACAAATTCTGCTTCCTAAGATGTCAGAACCTGGAAGCTTTTTGGGATCAAGACACACTCACAATTAAGTTCTGGAAACAAAGTCTTTATTTTACCTTCTTGCCAGAAAGGGAAAAACAGTTCAAACATTATCCTCCCCATCCCTGGAAACTAAACTCCACCCCGCTCCAGGTCAGAATGTACTCTCACAGTTTCTACTTTCAGTCCCCAAAACACCGCCAGATCTTCTTCCTAGTCCTCTCTTTCGCCAACATGGCCTTCATGTCAGGATGAACTAAGCACCCACTTCTCACGGCTGCTTCTTCGGGCATCCTGACAAAAGGTGTTTTTGAAAAGCATTCCAAACAAAGTCACAAAAAATCTGAAGGAAATCCCCATGAGTAAGATCGCAGTGTGGCACAATTGCAAAAATAACAAAGCAACCATGCTCAGAATGGATCACATTCCCTGACAAAACCTTCCTGATTCCCAGAATAGAAATACAATCCTGTAGAGTAATGTCTCTCAACCTTCCCAATGCCGCGACCCCTTAATACAGTTCCCCATGTTGTGGTGACCCCCAATCATATTATTTTTGTTGATACTTCAAAACCGTCATTTTGCTACTGTTATGAATCGTAATGTAAATATCTGATATGCGGGATGTATTTTCATTCGTTGTTGTTGTTGTTCATTCGTTCAGTCGTCTCCGACTCTTTGTGACCTCATGGACCAATCCACGCCAGAGCTCCCTGTCGGCCGTCACCACCCCCAGCTCCTTCAAGGTCAGTCCAGTCACTTCAAGGATGCCATCCATCCATCTTGCCCTTGGTCGGCCCCTCTTCCTTTTGCCTTCCACTTTCCCCAGCATCATTGTCTTCTCCAGGCTTTCCTGTCTCCTCATGATGTGGCCAAAGTACTTCAACTTTGTCTCTAGTATCCTTCCCTCCAGTGAGCAGCTGGGCTTTATTTCCTGGAGGATGGACTGGTTGGATCTTCTCACAGTCCAAGGTACTCTCAGAACTTTCCTCCAACACCACAGCTCAAAAGCATCGATCTTCCTTCGCTCAGCCTTCCCTAAGGTCCAGCTCCAACATCCGTAGGTTACTACAGGGAATACCATGGCTTTGACTAGGCAATGGATCTTGGTTGCTAGTGTGATGTCTCTACTCTTTACTATTTTATCGAGATTGGGCATTGCTCTCCTCCCAAGAAGTAAGCGTCTCCTGATTTCCTGGCCACAGTCTGCATCAGCAGTAATCTTTGCGCCTAGAAATACAAAGTCTGTCACGGCCTCCACGGTTTCTCCCTCTGTTTTCCAGTTGTCAATCATTTTTGTTGCCATAATCTTGGTTTTTTTGACGTTTAGCTGCAACCCGGCTTTTGCGCTTTCTTCTTTCACCTTGATTAGAAGGCTCCTCAGCTCCTCCTCGCTTTCGGCCATCAGAGTGGTGTCATCTGCATATCTGAGGTTGTTAATGTTTCTTCCAGCAATTTTTACCCCAGCTTTGCATTCATCAAGCCCCGCACATCACTGGACCAAATTTGTCACAGATACCCGAGATGCCCAAATTTGAGTACTAGTGGGGTTGGGAGGAATTAATTTTGTCATTTGGGAGTTGTAGCTGTTGGGATTTATAGTTCACCTACAATCAAAGAGCATTCTGAACTCCACCAATTATGGAATTGAACCAAACTTGGCACACAGACAGAGGCGGCCTTAGGTAATTTTCAACGGTAAACAAACAGTATTTTGGCACTCGCCCCCCCCCCCCCCAACCAATCAATGATATATATTTTCTGTTCGTCGTGGGAGTTCTGTGTGCCATATTTGGTTCAATTCCATCATTGGTGGAGTTCAGAATGCTCTTTGATTGTAGGTGAACTATACATCCCAGTAACTACAACTCGCATATGTCAAGGTCTATTTTCCCCCAAGAGCGCCTCAAGAGCGCCCCTGGGCAAAATCAACTATACTGCAAATGCTTACTTTGCGTAATGGGTTGACACCCTGCACACAGAACTACCATGACCAATAAAAAATACTGGTAGGGTTTGGTGGGCATTGACCTTGAGTTTTGGACTTGTAGTTCACCTACATCCAGAGGGCATTGTGGACTCAATTATGGTTCTGAACCAAACTTGGCACGGATACTCAGTATACCCAAATGTGAACACTGGTGGAGTTTGGGGAAAATAGACATTGGCATTTGGAAGTTGTAGTTGCTGGGATTTATAGTTCACCTACAATCAAAGAGCATTCTGAACCCCTCCAATGATAGAATTGGGCCAGGCTTCCTGCACAGAACTCCCAGTACCAACAGAAAATACTGTGTTTACTGATGGTCTTTGGTGAACCCTCTGACACCCCCTTGCGACCCCCACAGATTTATGTTATTACAGAAATTTGTTTACCTATGTGGTAGTTTAATTTATTGATATCAAGTTTAATGTACTGATGCTAGGTTTTTAATTTGATGTTAAGTTTTAATGCTACTTTTATATGTGGGGTTTTTCTGGGATTTTATGTCAGTATCATCTGTTTTATATAGCTACTAGCCGTTCCCTGCCACGCATTGCTGTGGCCCAGTCTGTGTATATGTATTTTGTGTGTGTATATATGTGTGTTTGCATATATATATATATATGTGTGTGTGTGTGTGCATATATCTGTGTATATATGTGTGTTTGCATATATATGTGTGTGTGTATGTGTGTATATATTTGTGTATTCGTGTGTTTATATGTGCACATGCATATTGTATATATGTGTTTATATATTTGTGTATATATGTTTACTTCTATATATGTGTGTTTGTATATATATGTGTGTGTGTGTATAAATATATATGTGTGTATATATTTGTGTATTTGTGTGTTTATATGTGTACATGCATATTGTGTATATGTGTGTACTTGTGTATATGTATATATTTGTGTGTATATGTGTGTTTGTATATATATGTGTGTGTGTTTGTATAAATATATGTGTGTGTATATATTTGTGTATTTGTGTGTTTATATGTGTACATGCATATTGTGTATATGTATATGCTTGTGTATATGTATATATTTGTGTGTATATGTGTGTATATGTATTTGTGTGCGTTTGCTCATATATATATGTGTGTGTGTGTGTGTGTGTGTGTATGATTTGTGCATGTGCATATGTATATGAGTGTATGTGTGTATGTATATATGGTGTATTTGTGAGTTTTTAAGTCTGTTCCACTTAAAAACGGTTTTGTGTGTGTGTGTTTATGGGTGATGGACCCTCGTTGGATTGTTAGGTGTCTTGTGTCCAACTTTCGTGTCAATTCGTCCAGTGGTTTTTGAGTTCTGCTAATCCCACAAACGAACATTACATTTTTATTTATATAGATTGAATGTTTTATATTCTTATGTTGGAATCCACCCTGAGTTGCGGAGATAGGGCAGAATACAAATAAAGTTATTGTTATTATTGATATTATTATTATTATTATTATTATTATTATTATTATTATTACTATCGACCCCCAGGTTGAGAAATTATGCTGTAGAGTCTTGGAGAGAATAGGAACA